TAAAGACTTATTAGTAATTTTCTGTTAGATCGCAACATATGGTGACGTCATAATAGTTTTGCGTCAACGTTTGTAAAAATCTAACTGGAAAAAATCTAAAATGAAGTAATCGTCAAACCAATGCATGAAAGTATGATTGAATTTAAAATTATACAGTGTAGTAGCATGAGGGTAGAATGCTTTTCTCACCTACCCTTCTTGTAGGAATATAATCTGAATGACCTCTTGTAATACCTACTTGGTAGAAGACAAAGACCTCCTGTACGCATACGTAGGCGCGTCGTGAGGTCTTCATACATTGCTCTTAATGTTCATATGTTTGTGTTTGTGCGAGCATTCACGCAGCTTGATGCTGCAATGTACACCGAACGCAAAATCGCGCGACGCCTTGCGCGTTCGTTAACGTAGCCTAAGTATTGTAACAATTATATTGTAGTAACTCAATAAAATTTAATATCAACGATCCACTAGTCTACTTGAGTTAGGAATAATGGATAACCTAACAAAACTTGCTTCAAACAGCGAATAGAACGCTGTTCTGCATAGTGCATATCACCAATATGTATACAAATACACTGAACCTATGATCAAGATTGACTATTAGATTTATGATTCGATCAGTTAATTAGGAGCTGAGCAGTAAATCCGATCGGTTCGTTGGCATCTAGGCTGGCTTCCTCACAACCAATTACGATTTAATCTGTCTCTAGCCTCGACAGGTCAATAATCAATTTCAATTCAGTTTCATGCATCCTGATATAATTAAATTTTAAACGAGGTATTATTAGAACTATTTTACGCTTATGTCTAGTTGGACAGCGGTTATGTAGGATTATTGAAACCATTTTATTTATTTATTTTATTATTGTTACAAAAATAGAACTAAATTTTTAATACAAAAATAACTTAAAAAGGTTATTTTAAAAGTTTAATTTCATTTATTCATTTATTTTATTCAAACTTAAAAAAAAACAAAACGCAATAAATACTTTAAAAAAAGAAATAGCATGCATCGAAAATAACAAACACAATATTTTTTTAGTTAAATTTTTATTGTCTTTGGTTATACAAAAACATTGATTAATTTTTAAAATAACTTACAAAAAACCACATTTATTTATTTCTTTATTAATAAATACATCGTGAATGACTAAACTTGTACATTGATAATAATAAATCCTAAATTTTTAAATTGCTGTTTGATTTCTTTCATCTCTCGCACAAAATCTCTTTCAAAAAGTCTCATACATAAACGACGAAGAGCATTTTGGTCAGGGTATTACAAATAAACATTCTTACAGACAAAATAACAATTTCATTAACAAAACAACAATATTATAACAGTTACATAGAGAAACGAGCCAGGACTTTGAAATTAAGATGCCACCGATATAAAATGAACTCTACAAGCAATATTTGTGCAGCCATTTGTAATGTTTTATCAGAGTTCTTGCTACGATGGTGTTTACTTGTAACACGCCTATTAAACTTCGTAATTATTTGTTATCTAACTCCACACTATAATTTCGAAACTTGTTAATTTGTTTAGTTTAAAATAAGGTGTCAATAATTACGCAGAATCAGTAGCGCGTAAACAACAAACATCATTATCGAGTTTAATTAAGTTATTGAGAATATATTCGTGCAGTTTTTTAACAAATCAATGTACCAATTATAGATCTTGTGTTTTTATAAATTGGGCATGTATTTTATTTTTATTTTATTTATTTATTTCATGCACAAAACACATTACAATCAAATATTATTAGCTTAAAAACTAAAGGTTTTGATCTAGATAGTAACGTAACACTATGTGCATACTGCAAAATTACAAGTTTTAAATATTAAAAAAGCTCAAAAAGGGAGAAAAAGAAATAAGAAGTAGAAACTAGAAAACATAAAGTGACGTGTGTCAACACTGTTGCCTCTCAACAAAAAAAAAAAAAAAAAAAATATGGGATGATATGTTAAGATCCCTCAGGCACAGTTTCCCGGGCCTGAAGAATCCACACCAGATCGACAATGGAGAATGCCTTTTATATCTGAGATGAATTTATTAATGCTGTAATTAAATATGTCAAAAAGTTTGTGATTGCTCTTTGCCATTTCATTATATTGACGAGCCATCCTGGTATGGTATATAATATGGTATGGAATTCAATTGAAAAAATCACGTTTTATTTCATTAAAATGTTTGTGAAATTGCACATTTTTTAATTGCTACTTGCTAGTTAAGTGTGGCGGAAAATAAAATAAAATTTATTTTAATGGTCATTATTGTAGATTGACTGAGTAAAGTTCTTCTAGGTTCAAGTCACTCACACAAGACTTTTTCCGAGTTATCTACTTTCTATGATTATTTAGACACCACTGACATAAGGTGAAGGTAAACATCGTGAGGAAACCTGGACTTATAATTTCTAATTATAAGTCTGAAATCGCCAACCCGCATTGAGCAAGCGTGGTGATTAATTCTCTAGGTAACTTTCTCCGTATGAGAAGAGGCCTTTGCTCAGCAGTGGGCACTTATAGGCTGATGATGATGATAATGATCTACAATCATTTTCATTCAAAGTCCTAGCTCGTTAAGATTTTGTAATAAATATAATTTCTTACTGGTCAAATGATTCCAACGATAAATCAGTGAAAAAGAAACTTTCAGATTTTATTTGTAAATTGTTGATTATATTTTCATTACAGTTCTAATATCTTATTTCATGCAAAATCCATCGAATATCTATCATACTTATTTTCTGAGTTTATTTTTCATTATTATTTTACAACACTACAAATATTACATGACAATACTTTTTTTAATTAAATATTTCAGTTCGTTTTAATCCCTTGTCATTTAATTAATGATTTTACAAAATCGACATCTAAAAATGTTTTTTTATAATAAACACCGGATTCGTTAAAATATGAGTATCTCAAATATTTTGAAAACTGTCGCTATGAAAAATACAAAGTGCCTTATTTATAAATTAGTTTAACTATATACATACATATAAAGCATAATAAGCACACACTATTTAGCAGTACTATTTGAAATTATGGAAATTTTTTTTAAAAAGAAACCCGGCATTCCTATTTTATTTCCTCTATTTTCCAAGGAAACAGGCAGTTTTATACTTTATCTGAATTATTTCACCTAAAGATATTTCTTTAGGTGAAATAAACTTTTTCATAATCGTCACATTGGCATACAAATTTTTGGTTGACAAAAATTGTTTCCGTTTGAAGCAATATTTTAATCACAAGTTAAGGTCAACTCCAAAATATTTGAGACACCCACCATAGCTTAAATTACAAAAAATATGATGAATATTAAGTTAAAATACGATAAACGTGACATCCATTAAATAAATTAATCACAAAATAACGTTTTCATATCATTCATTCGCAGCGGGCGACCGACTTAATGGTTCCGGGAAAATAGCATACGTACTGTATATTAATTCTATTAATTTAACTAGCTATGTACTCGTATTAATTAATTTGACACGAAAAACAAAGTCAGCTACGTGAATGGTCACACTACAGACGCCTTAGCACACTTTGAGCTCGTTCTTATACAAATACTGTAAAATACTGACGCTGTACCACATGCTAAATATAATTTAAGGTCACATATGATTTCACATTTATATATTTATATTTTATTTAATCTGACAAAAATTTCACACCTGTCTGTAATACAAAATAGGCAAAAAATTTAGAATCTTGTAATTCACTATCTATTTATTTATGTCATTACTGAGGTACTGACTCAATAATTTAATCATAATTTCATAATTATTATTAATATGACAGTGTCAGTATGAGTTGAAAGTAAGTTAATTGCAAAGCAAGATTGTAATCTATTACGATACGAGATATAAAAATTATTAACATCGAGATAAAGTACTTAATTTACTAGTAATATACAAGTAGTCTTTAAGACTCTCCTATGATAGCTGAATATGCAATTATTTAAAAATATCATGCAGCAAAACAACTACGCTATGCCATAGAACGACAACATACAAATATTAAAAAATAATCCAAACAAAAAAATGTCTCTAACGTTAAACTGAAACCATTCTCACTCAGTCGAAAATGGAAAATCTGTCAAATTATTATTAGCCACTTGTAATAATAAAAAAATACAATTAGGATTCTGAAAAAAATATTCAACTAGAAATGGTGTCGATATTTTTTTATCTATGCCTGTGTATGATGTCGTTCTATAAATGAATTTGAATTAAACAAAGGGACAAGTTTAGGTATCGCATCGATGAATTTGTGAGCTGTGAAAAGCTCAATTTGTACTGTCAACTATTATTATATTACATACACTGGGATTAAAATAAAAAAGGTGCAATATTTGAACTCTACTGTTTTTATGTACCAGAGGTACCTACCACGCAATTATTCGATATTCTGTTTTCAAATTAAATGGCGATCTTTGCCAGCTAAATCAGAATTTTTGTTTCAATAAAATACTTTTTATGAAATAAATTATATTTTCAGTATTTAGGTACCTATTTAAGCAATTTTTCCTTGAACAGATTTTTCTTTAGAGTTGATAATATTGCACCTTTTTAACAATTTCAAAGTGTTCCTACTAGATTACCTACAAAACAATTCGGACTAGAATAAGTTCTAATTTTAAGGGACATTCACAAATAATAAATAAATAACTAATTTTACTGTGCGCATTGACAATACGTTTAGGAATTAGAGTAACTACCTACCAAGTGATTACAAATACAATTTTAAAAATATTGGGTTTGAGCGAACTGACAAAAAACAAAAGAGTTATATTTATAATTGTACAAGTTACCTATACGTTCACAAAAGACGTATCGCAGAAATTGCATCACCAATAAACTATAAATCTGTAACCATTGGTTTAATATTTTACTTGTTTTTTTTATTATTCAATGAAATTTTTTTGGATTTAAATGAATATGTCTCAGAACAAAAGACATAAAACCTTTAATGAGAACATCAAAGATTTAGGTCAAGCCCTTGAGGCATGCTAAGGGAAAATAATAAAGTATACAAAAAATTGGAGCAAATAATAATCACAACGGTTCATGAATAAAACAGTTTTTATTTGATAAAAAAACAGTTTCGTTCAAAACGTGTTCTGTGGATTTATTCTGTTGCAATATTGTATTTGTAAGTCAATCAGTCCTGTCGGGTATAATGATAGAATTACGCATTCTAATGTACGTGTTTTGTAAACTATCAATATACGATTAGACACAGATTGGGAAAATACATTTTATAAGGTGTAGATTAAAAATATCCTACCTATAAAGTTCGATGAGATTTTTTTTATATAAAGTCTAGATACTTGCATGGAAACTGGCTGGAAGTGAGACTTTATGTTCCCACAATCGACACGTTTATGACATTCGGTGCTCTGATTGGTCAGTTTCAAGTTAAGCAACCAATCAGAGTTACGTTCCAAAAGTAAACATAGCACTAGGTTATATCAAGTTAGTTGGTACGCAGCTAATGTGTTGCCATTACAAAAATGGTAAAGGTTTAAAACAGCTTCTAAAAAATGCAAAAGCCAAAACAAATATTAATTATCTGTAAACAGCCGACATATAAATAATTTATATTCTAGGAAATTAAAAGATACAAACGCAGCTGAGTAAAAATGTGAAATTAATTGTGCATTGAAACGTTTAAACCAAGGGAGCTAAAATTGTTCATATCTTGTATCGCTGTTTAGGTGCAAAAATTCGACTAAATATTAGTGTAACTTGTCATTTGAGCTATAGACAATAAGAGCTATTAAATAATTTATATGTCATTTTCCATTTTTAGGTTAATTAAATTCCCGCGCTATTTTGACATCCATTGACATAACGGCGCCATTTGCATTTTTTGATGTACTGTATGTGATAATGATTTGTAGGATACAAAATGTTTGCTTATTTATTCTTCGTTGAGTCAGTTCTATTTAATTTCATGTATAAAAATCATTTATAACAATGTTTATTGGTGCTTATTATTGAATTGGAATATTGGGTTTGCTCACGACTTCATAATTATTACGATTGGTTTTCATTAAAATATTCGGATTTCATAAATATTTTTGGCACATTTTTGGCAAGTTGCGTGTCCTATTGTTACTTAATAAGACTTTTGGCTTTTATTCCATTAAAGCTGTTCATCCAAGGAAACTTTTCCTTCTGTTTATAAGAAAAATGCGTAATTCTCCTCAATTTTGTATAAAATTTGGTTTTATTCAAAAATCTAGGACTTAAATGTAAATTGCATTGATATATAGTAGATTTTCTATTTCTACACATACATATAATTAATAATTTGGTTAATAAAACCTCATTCACAACAAAGGAACGTTGTACAACACTCATAGACTTGATGTATATATTACATAACCTTATATACTTACTTACACACACATTAATTGTATAATACATAATATGTTCCTATTTATAATAATACTGCCGATACAAATGTCATAGACTTAATATATCGAATGTTGTATTTACAATTACTTTTATATATTTTTAAAATTCATACATATATTTAGAATTCAATGAATATATCCCATTTTATCTACGTTGACACATATTTAAATATATAGTAAACGTTGTCGGATAAGATTAGCGATGAATTAAAATTTGAATGATCATTTTAGCTCACTATTCGTGTGTCACAACTTTATCACAATAGTGATAGTATTAACGACATTAAAAGGAATAATAGATTCCGAAATATTCATAAAATTCTCGTAGAAGAGTGAGATAAAACAATGCTGTAATAAAGGGTCACATATGATAAAAGATCGTTGTATGAATATTACAATAGTATATCGAGACGAACATCTCACGTTGATCTTTGATGAAATCACAGAATACTCACGACAAAGAAAATTAATACTTATATACTTTTTTTTAATGGTCTTCTTTGAAATCTTAAAATTATTTTATAAACATTTAAATCCCTCACAGGACAGGTTTGAGTATTGCTCAGAATTTCTATAATTATAAAACTTACTTTAAATAAAATACATTTAGGTACGAAACACACAGTTATTTGAAAAAAGGCTCAGGACTCTCTCTTAATACTGTTCGACATACACAGATGCATAAAGTTGATACACTCTAACTTACGAACGCTACGAGTCACTCATTTATATCTAAAACAAATACATTGAATGTTGGGAAGCAACTATAGCACTAGAAGCTTCAAAAAAAGGAATGTTCACAGCAAAACCTCTTATACAGAAGCGAGTTTTAAAATCGTTCGAAAACAATCGGTCATTTTTTATCTGTGGATAAGACTGTCAAACTTATTGGAAGCATTCGACGAAAAAGAATGCTGTAAATAATATAAATTACCAACATGAGACTGCAAATAAAATTGTTTGTGATCTAAATTCGTCGATATTTAATCCTAGAAGCTCAAACCTTAACCAGAACACTGTAGAGAAATATCTGACTAGAGTAACACATTCAAAGCGGTCCGACACGAAGATACGAGATCTGACATTTCCCTCTGACGTTTAACTTCAGTAGTGTTGCAAGTTTATTTTAGTTTTATTCGATCCTCATTTGAATGAACGCAAACATTTGAACTTGTTTAAACATACGTGCCAATTCTATCTGGAAATTATTTTATTTTATTATTCTCAATCATGAATACGGACATGCTTTCCGTAATTCATCTTTTTTTTATATTTGAAAAGCGAAAGTGAAATTTATATTGTTTTTTTTACGATTTGAACATAATAGAAGTGAGGAGTGCCCTCGTATCTTCGTATCGATCCTTTTGACTAGATTCTGACAACTACCAATGTTTAACGCAATATTCTCAGCTCTTTCCCCATAACGCTAATCACTCTTAATATATTTTTGGCTTTTAACTTTTTGCTCTTAATTTTTGTTTTAAAATTAAATCAATCTTCTTCTTACAACAGGAGAAGACTCGGACAATTTTTGTGTTGTGCATAGCTTCGTGGTAAAATTATTAGATCTTATAATACTGGTATTTATTATTATAACCTAAATGTTATATGGACTGATCTGTCAGAAACTATCAGGTACATTAAAAAGTATCACGTCAAATTTTGATTAATCATTAAAATGAAGCTTACTTTTTTAGAAAATTAACCCTTTCAAATATTTCTAGTTTCTTGGCGAAGCATGTACCGCACTACACAAAGAACGTCCGAATAAAATATTCTTAAACCACAAAATTAAAACAAAAACAAATGTATCTACCTCTACAAATAATATACTATGTATGGACGGGACGGTCAACTCACTAATCGAAATCAAAATTCACAACTAATCGTTTCAATGGACAACTAAATAAATATTACGTTCTCACACTAAATATGGATGATACCACGTTTTATTAACAGTCCATTTTAGTTCACAATTTAGGAAGAATATTGGAAACAAGATGGTTCTGTGTTAAAATATGCCAATGTTGGTAAAAGAAAAGTTTTGTCAAAATTGGCACGTTGCTTTTATATTTGTTTTCATCTTCAGAATTTATTAATTAAATATTTGCATTTATTTTTATATAAATATTAAAACTTGACGCTGTCGACATTCTCTCAATTACCAACATTGCTTTACATAACATCAACAGCAAAAACCAAACGGATACCAAAATTGGGCAATTTACATTTTGGCACCGTCACAAGACCAATCATTCAAAGTTCGAAGCTCATCACAATTCAATTGTACACACCCCTAGTCATTGCTTCCCTATTCCTATTGTGCCACTTGCATGTCAGAATCCGCACGTACGTTCTTCGGAAGGTAGCATTACAGAGAGCATAGCACACAGGGTTAATTGTAGAGTTAATGTAACATAGAGCGTAGAAGAAAGACCATAACTCGTCAGGAATGCACTTAGTGCACGCTGTGAGAGGTTTCAGCAACACCAATATGTTGTAAGGCGTCCAAGTGATTATAAAAGATAATAAGATGGCCGACAACGTTTTCGCAGCTTTAGTCTCCTGCTTCTTCTCTTGAGTTTTCTTCTTTGGCTTCGGTTGTTTCGTTAAGCCCTTACCTGCCAACTGCTTCGGAATTATTTTGGCGTTCAGAGGGATTCTAACGTCCTGTATGTGGGATGTTCTTCTAGTCAGTGCTTGATGACCAGCGGGATGAAGGTTGAGCTCTGAGTCTCCTCTGGTTGGTCGAAAATGTGGCCTCGTATTAGAAGGTGGAGATTCTTCTGTGATCATTTTAATTGTTGGTCTTTCGGTGTCGGCATCTGGTAGCCTGATTAAGATTGTATACACTGAGTCTGCGGATGCAGATTTTGGTGCAGGTGAGGTAGTAGCGTTGATCCTGGTGTTTGGAGGCAAAGAGCGACTATCGCGTGCTGCTGGCATATTTGAGGGTGGCTCGTAAGTTCGTCGGAGGGGGGAAGTACCTCCATCACCTCCAGAACCACTGGACCCTCCGCCACGAGATGCATAAGGATCCCTGATGACGTTCAGTGATGTGCACCTATGAAACAGACATTTTGTCATCAAACTATGATCCAAATGGCATTAATTGAAACAGTGAATCCAAAGTAAAATTCAGATAAATATCTAAAATAAAGCTTTTACTGATTACCTCAACAATCCTTTACTTAAACCACAAGCCGGGGTTAGGAGATGTCCTATTTATTTATTAACTTTAGATATAGTGTCCCTTGGATGTTAGGAAAGGTCGATGTTATTAGTTGTGATCATGTTCCTTGGGGAATACCTTTGTCAAGAGCACAAGTTAGTTATGTTGGACTAGTATTAATGGTGCTCTTAATACTATTTGGCAATACATTTTTCACTACTCGTTTATACGCAGACTAAAATGACTGATAGATACCATGCTTGTACTTTACTACTGCATAATGTCATGTATATCTCACCTCGATACAGAACTCTGCAGCGGCGTCTCGACAGACACGGGTGTGGCGTACCCAGGATCCGAGGGTTCCTCCTCTGGTTCGGTATCTTCCACATCCTCACGCCCGGAGTGCCACCACGCCACACACCAGGCCCTCACTGCCGCCCAACCTCGCAACGTGCGACGGGCGTTAGCCGCCTGATGGGCAAAAGAAAATCGATCGTTATTATGATATAATGTAGATAAAATAGTATTTCTTTTTTCAAAATTGTATTCCTTTAACAGTAATTTGAAATTCGTAGTGTGCGTTCATATGTCAGCATGACAAGGTATTCCAACATTCGACTTTATTTCAAAATTATAGAGTTGGAAATAGACAAATTTGTCGTTGCATCCATGTATAATACCGACGTTCGTCTCTGTGACCATGTGAGCAAGACAGTGTCTGTTCTTTAATAAAACATGCACTTTAAATAAACAGAACGATGAACGTGCTTGTTGCATATATGTATGTATCTTCCAGCTGCTCAAAGGACCACGTTTTCGTGTCGGTAAGCACCACGTAAAATATATAAATACTTAAATGTATGTAGATGTTACGTGAACCTTGTCTTTATACTCTTAAAGTTTTTTTTCGTTCCAAAAAAAACTGATTTTGTTGTTTGTACCTCAAATTAATATATTTAAACAAATCAAACTCAGTTAAATCCATTTGTATAAACCAGATAAACTAACTTATTTAAACGTTAATTGTATTAATTAACATTTTAACCTAACAACTAATGGATGTCACCACGCGGGAATTCAACGATTCGACGTTAAAGATTAAATAGCATTAAAAGATAAAAGTCATAAATGATTTTATATGATTCGTTTTTCGATTTCGTGGTCTTTTTATTTAAACATTTATAGGTAACAAAATCATACATTATGACATGATGAGAAATTTTTAAATATTAAATGATTATTCAAAATATAGTTACTCGACTGCACGGTTGGTGCGGTGGCTGGGCAACTGGCTGCCGTGCAACGTGTCGTGGGTTCGATTCCCACACGGAACAACTCTTTGTGTGATCCACAAATTGTTGTTCCGGGTCTGGGTGACATGTGTATGTGAAATTGTATGTTTGTAACCCACGACACAGGCGAAATTCCTAATGTGGGACGTTTTTAAAAAAAAGAAAAAAAAAGAAAGAAAGTTACTGTGCTTTACTAGAACATGCTAAAACGTAGAAAGAAGGTCCTGACCAAAAAATGAAGTACTTATTGTCAGTTTTGTTAGCAAAATTAATATTAAACCCGGTATGAAACAGACAAAGCCAACATTATGTCATCAGTCTACAAAACTTGTGAGAAAATCTTTTGAATGAGTCGGAGTGCATCCCAAAAGGCGGTAATTTAGCTCCTCATAGCAAGTCGACAGGCCGTTGTTTTCAAGAGCTGTAATAATGTTCCCCGTCTTATAACACGCTTCTGTTAAATTATACCATTTTCTCCGACGTCAGTTTGCTCAGCAACCATTTTCGTGATCAACAAGGAAATGAAAAATATAACCAACGAGGTTGAAAACCCTTTTAAACCTGTTTGTTGTATTATTTAATGGGGTTGTCTCAAAGGATTTTTTGAGTAGCTCTTCCAAGAATTTTTACTTTGAGTGAAAACTTTCTTTTTTGACAACGAATCGAAAATTTGATGAGGTGTGAGGTTTTTGTGAAGCCTAAGTTAATGGCGATTTGATTTTAATTATTTTATTTTTAGACCGGCCTTTAAGGGATCATTATGTATCGTAAAATTCTTCTACCAGTTTTTTTATTGTATATTATATGAAAATCAAATCAAATACTATGTAAATACTGACTACAGACTAGACTGTATGATTGGCGCAGAGGTTGGACAGCCGGCTGTTGCGCAATGTGTCGAGGTTCCGATTTCTGCACGAAACAACTCTTTGTGTGACCCACAAATCTTTTGGAAGTGATGCGTATATGAACTTGAATGCTTCTAAATGCACTTACAATACAAATAAAAATCCTAATCTGGGACAACGTTTTATGTATAATAGTTTCCCGAACTCGAAGCACATGTAAATATTCCATAACCAAATAAATTGATGGAAGAGCCAAACCTAAAATCGCCTTCCACATCGGTTACAATCGGTTCTGACGGGTCGTGCCAAATAGTCTCCTAGTGCTGCACTTGGCACATACCCAACATCATAAGCCTATGTCCACGTTACTCTTACCAGAAATCAAAGAACTGTGGACCTTATTCGTTTAACATAAGAACGTAGGTGAATGCGTTACATTTTATTTTGGTCCTTCGTTCCGCGTTCTGCGTTCGTACAATAGGACCTATTGTCATCTGCGAGATGTTCTAAATGCATTTGTTTCAGGGAATCTATTAACAGATTCAAAATTCTAAGTAATAGCTAATAAGCTATAAATAAATATAAAATACATTATTGTGGGTCATATTATTACCAAAAAACAGTCAAAGGAGAGGTACATTTCTAATTAAATTTAGAGCAATATTCTGAAATGTTCATTAGAAACATTTATTTTTATTGAAGAAATCTTCGGTCAGTAAAGGTTGCCAGTAAATTAGTCGTGAGAGGGCAATCCATCAGAGGATTACCCTCATAATGTAACTCAATGAGTATATCAATTTGCGTAATTTAGCCAACTTGTATGTTAAACGTTTTTGATAGAAATTTGCTATTTCAAATTTCATAAATGTTTTTAATTTTTTTTATACGCCTATATAACTGGCATACGGATAACTTGATGGTAAGCAATCAGCGCCGCCCATGCACACCCGACCATGGATAAAGAGTAAAAATTGTTCTAGACTTCTTCAGATCCGCTTATCAACAAGGCATTCTATTATTGTTTTTATAGTACATTTAATTGTACAGTTTTTAAGTAAGTGAGCCGGTTAATAGTGATTAATAACGGGTAATTATCACCGGCGGTACCATCCGCATCATAAATTCAGTTTCACAGTCGTCCGATTATTCCGTCAAATGTAACCAACCACTTGCATAATTAATTGGCCTCAGACAGAAAGTTAATCGATTACAACGACTAGGGATTTATTAATGTTACAAGGACTTTTTTTATATCTAGTAACACTGCGATTTATCAAACTATAATACTGGGGTGTGATTCTGTAAGACTTCATTCTAAACTTCGAATTTGAATCCGCTGTGAGTAGTAGTACACTAGCGCTACACTTGCGAGTTGAACTAAATTGACAGTAACATTTTGATGGATAAAGTATGAGATGACGTTAAAAGTGGCATTCTAAAATTTAATTACCCCGTCACTTCGACGCTCACTTCGCACTCGAACAAGATTAAAAATCAAACAAATTTTATAGAATCGACGTGCTGAATATCAATGATTTTTTTATGAATTATGCTTTAAACTACACCGAAGTACTTACGCATTAATAAAAAAATTAAATAGTTTAGTGAATAATTTGTTTATTATTCTAGAAAAGCTATAACTTCTTAATTGTTTTTAATATTGATTGTTTATTTATTATTAACTAAAAAATCTTATGTAGGAAATCAAATTTCCATACTTGGTATTTAAATTTAATCATGTGGGAGAAAACCCTGAAAGTAATTAAGGATGTGGTGTTTCGAAGAATTGGAGTAAGTAAAGAGGATGAGAAGGGGAGTTGGGCCTCTGGTAATCACATTTTGCGTATTTCTCTCCGAAATTTCCCAGTATTAAAAGTTTAATACTCATAAGATTAAAAATAAAATCTTCACCGCAAGCATTTTAGTGCAACGAACTATCCATTAAGACAGGAAGGTATAAATTAAAATTAAAAAAAATACAACTTTCTTCGTACTTTGTGATATTTTGATCGGTTATTTTAATTCAACTAATTGATCATTATAGTTTATTGGTATTTTTATGAGTCTTCCTGCTATTCTAATTACAAATTTACGGCTGAAAATTACAAACCTTGCATAAATCTACCCGTTATTAATCTACCTATCTATTTATTGCATTACCATCTCAAATTAAGACCATGTAAAAGACTTATTTGAATAGAAGAATATACGCAAAAAGGGAAAATACCTCAAACAAATTTCTATAATTTAGTTCTCAAAGAAACAGTTCCACACAAATTCGAACAAAGTAAATTTCAAAAACAATTCTTATTTTAAAATTTAAATAATTAAAACACAGTACATTTAAATAACGCAGTAGCTCAACTCAATTAATTCATACATTTTCCTGGGAAAGGAAACAATTCGTAAACGGGAGCGAAGGCAAACGAATCAACGGCACGGGGAACCTCATGTTTTCTTAATGAACTCTTAACTACTTTAATTTGCTAAAATTCTACTGACGACCGACTATAAGTAATGCCAGTATTTACTTAACTTAATAAAAATATGGCATTACATATTGAAATCTCATAAAGGAAGTATATGCATGAGCATATTAATTTTTGGTACCGACTCAAACGGGCTGCTATGATAACCTGATGGTAAGCAATCGGCGCCATCCATGGACACCCGATGGCAACGGAGGAGTTACGAGTGCGTTGCCGACCTTTTAGAGAGGTTAGGGTTTTGGAGATTAAGGGATTGGGGAGGGGTCGGGGGAGGGAAAGGATTGGGCTTCCGATAACCTCACTCACACGGCGAAACACAACGCTGTGGTTGTTTTACGCCGGTTTTCTGTGAGGCCGTGGTATCACCCCGGTCGAGCCGACCCATTCGTGCTGAAGCTTGGTTCTCCCGCACTTGTTAGGGATTTAGGTATAGATTTGGGAATAGATTGAAAATGAGAGGGTACCATAAACCACTCACATGACGAAACTTAATGTTGTTTTACGCCAGTATTCGGGAAGGCATATCTGGTGATATTTTTCCGGTCAAACCGGCCCATTCTCTCACACTTAAAATGGTTCTAGGTTTCTTTTAATGTTACTGATAACAGTAAACTAATAATTAAAGGATCGCCTTTTGGTAATTACTATCACTCGACAAACGACATGAAAATCCAACTTTTTAGTAGCTAGACAATAATAATAATCATGGATTTTTATTTCAAAAATACAATTACTTACACAATAAGTATACAAAATCTCTTGCTCTTAAACTCACTCTCGATACTGCTAAATTCTTTTTACGCTTGGAATCAATGAAACAGTACGAATATTTGCTATACTGAATTTGTTTCGACATTTCTTCATAGAGTAACTGACGTTGGAAAATTGCTTCATCATTATGTAATACATTATGTAAAAGTGCTACCTATTTAATGGCTTTAAACTTTTGCGTTACTTATTAATACGTTGCTGTATTACGGGACAGTCTGCTTGTGACCACGGCAGGTGTAACCCTGCCAAAACATCAAGACAAAAAACAAATAAAAGGTACGTACAGTAAAGTACTAATGGCATATTTCCAAAAATAAATTCATTGTTTTATTGTCTCATTGTATATTCAAATTTTATTATCATTATAATTCTTACCGAAAATTATACTATAAAGAAGAGGATTATAATTCAAGTTGACATGTTTCTTCTGCCCTTTATAAAAGGGTACATTTAATCCGTGTCACAGAGAATATCATACTATAAAGAAGAGGATTATAATTCAAGTTGACATGTTTCTTCTGCCCTTTATAAAAGGGTACATTTAATCCGTGTCACAGAGAACCCCTTTATATACAAGAACAATATTCAATGACCAGCACTAATTGACGTAGGTAAATATATCATTAAAATTTCTTCGAATTTAAAATAAATTTGTTATATCCAAATTTTATTGCAAAGGACGACGTTTCGTACAAAAGGACCAGAGAATCGAATTAGCCTGAAATACGTTTAAATATCAACAATTAAATACAGGAATACACTGACGAAACTCTTGCTAAATTTACCAAACTTTCCTTTGTAAAATGTAGCACATATGCACTTATTTAAAGGCAGGCAGGGGTAGAAAAGTTTTCATTCAAAATGCAGAAGCGTTCACAGCGGTAATTTGGACCAGTAAGTTCTGACACCGATATCTCTTCCCTCTCGGTGCTAGCCTGGTGCAATTCAATTTATTCAGTGTGAACTCCCCGTTTTATATACGTCCTATTATTTTAGTTTCAAATCTTCACTCCTACGATGTTACGCTTGCTTAATTTTGTACTTGAATTGCAGTTTTGTTTGCCGTTGAATGTTTACTGGATTAATCGTTAATACTTTGGTGCTGATTTAGACCTTGTTTGTTATGTGAGAGAGTTGTATAGATGCGATGTGAGTGATATTGTTTGGTGTGCCTTATGAAGGAGTGCGTTGAACTAACAAATCATGGATGTGTCATAGAAGGAAGTAGAACGGGCGTACAACATGCACTACTACATATCTAAAGAGCTTCTAGCAGCAGTACCATAGTCAATATAATATGGCCCATATGTTACTCTAGATTAGAATCTTTATTCCATGTTTCGTTAAGATCCCCTGAATAGTGTTTACGTGAAAGGATAACCAACATCCATATATGTATACATATATTTATTAAAATGTTCATGTCTACAATATTTAGAAGGACGATTTAGGTAGTATGATAATTGTACGTTTTAACTATGTACATAGTTACAACATTATTGTAAGAAGGAACGAATTTTCGAATTATTTATTTAATACGAATTCAAAAAATAAATAAATCATAGACTCAGGAAAACGTATGTCACTACGTAATAATACTACTTTTAAATTAAGTAAATACAAAACAGTTGTACGACAATATTCCTTACTACCTATATGATCCAATTTACAAAAATTGGATCAACTCCAATGCGTTCACAGATACCAAAACCTCTAATAATCCTTACCTGGTTATCCCTCCACCGCTGGTCGTGTAGCGCCCCCCTCACGTGGTACACCGAGTCTGCATCGCCAGACTCTGATCTGGCACGACCATCCACTTCTCTCGTCTCATCACTGGTGACAAAAAAATTAGATTAGTTTTAAAATTCTCTAGCAACATGGCTAATACTAATTTCGTTGGGAATTGAGAAAGAATTAAGAATTTATAATTTATTCATGTTTTCTACTTTACCACTCTTCTTTTTATGTAACTTTGCTATTTCAAAATACTATTTTCAAATTATTCGAGTCGATTAGGCTTTTTTTCTTTTTGTACCTGGTAAGTTATATAAATAGATAATTTATTTAATTCTACTTCTTACTACAATAAACTTTTTGTCATTTTGTATATTACATAAACCACACAATTATGTCTAAGAACATGTTGCCACTCCAGAAATATTATACACACATTGTAATGTGATGTAAGTACTTTAAACTTGCTACAATTCCTAAAACATCTTCAAAGTAATGCAACTATACTAACTGTTAGGTTTGGTTTGTTGCAAGAATTATTAGCGTCACAACCCAGAGCTGAAGAAGAAAGCAAAACAGTCAATAAAGAGGGACTTGTGGTCTCGTAAATAAAGGAATTAAGCATACAATCCATATATTAACCAAATCGCAAACAATGATACACTAACCGAATAATAATATGAGAGATAAAACATTTTTTATAAGACACTACAACGGGACAATACTTTATTATTTCTATGATAGTACGACGATAGTAATAACAATAATGTCGAGGAAACGTTACGTAATTTAATGTGGTATGTGGTTAATCAAAACCTCGTAAGCCGAAGCCATGAGGGCTTATCCCTGGCAGTCGGCCAGTGTGCAACGATTTACTTCATATATAGCTTGGTTTAAGTCATAAAAATTCTAGGAGAAATATGAAACACGCTGTGTATGAGAGGAAGAAATAAAAGTAATTTTTAGTTTGTTGTCTTATTTGGTTGAAGTAATTAATGGTTGTAAAAGGTTGTTAACTACGTGAACTTAATTCTCCTAAATATAAATCTAAATTCGCAAATACTACTACTTATTACCTACTTCATTAAATGAACATTGTTTGTACAAAAAATACGAAAATAACCAAAAACTTTCTGCTAGAAAGCACAAAAGAATAAAATGTAAAAATCTTCCTACAACTTTCCTTTTTTTTTTTCTCAACTGTTCAACAAAAGCAAAACTACAGTAACAATGTAGAAAAATTCGTATTCCAAACCAGTTCCTCTAACCTCGAGACAAACAACTGACGAGATCTTCACACTTCCTCAACTTAAAACCAACACGAAGTTTCAACTTAAATTGTAGTCAGCCCGCGTCTCCTGTGCCAAACAGCACAGACCTTCCAACTCTAGAATTGCCACTAAATCGTGTGCAGATTGGCCCACTGTGCAACTTTCATTTGTCTCTGACAGTTGGACTACTTATTTACAGTTTCGAATGCTAGTAAAACTGTCGCCAGCTTTTAATTGAGTTGAACCAATTGGATTTTCTATTGCATCCTCTGTGGTCGACGCTGCTCGGCAGTAACACGGCTTTTATCATGTCCTTATGGCTTAATTGGATTCTTTTATTACACGTCTCTTGTTTGTTAACTTCGATTTACTATTTTCTACTTCGAAAACAGTCCATTCGTGTTTGAAAACCCAGATAACGATTATTGGGTGCAAGATTTTATTTCAGGAAAGTTATCTCATGACTTTTCCCGCTTTGAGTGGGCCGGGAGGGACTGTCAGACTCTTACTGTTGGGGTCAGAGTGAGGCCTTTTTCAGCAGTGGTCTTCTGGCTGAGGATAATGATGATGATGATGAAGTTATATTGATATGTTCATGTGACCTCTTTGAAACTACAGTAATGTCAGCATAAACTTTAAACGAACTACATTAATTTATTGTGCGTTTCCAGAGCTTTTAGACTCAAATAAAAGTCTACATATTCCTTCAATTCTCAACCTCAGAAAGGGGGGACTAAATCCAATCTCAGCACTCGTTAACATTACCCGTAGTATTTAGGACCAAAATGTCGGATTCAATGTGCAATGGTCTGATTAGCCTCACATGTGTAGCGGGCACATGCCACGTGACCACACGCTTCTGCGGCTTTATAGTAGGTACATGTAAATGGTACAAATAGTACATATACATATATTGTTTTACTATAAATCGTCTAGTTTCCGTATTAGACACCGGAGTGATACTACGCCGTCACAGAAAACTGACGTGAAACGACCACAGTGTTTTGCCGTGTGAGTCAGGTTACCGGTAACCCAATCCCTTAATTTGACGACTTTAATAAAATATTTTTTTTTATTTATTACGTCAAATGTTGTGATTTTATAAAAAAGTATAGTATTTATATATTACATTTCAATGGATTTGGCTAGTTTGAAACTATTGGTTGGCTGTATTGTATACTTACGTAATATTGCTAATGTTTTTGTTAATTTTATTTATTTATATACATATACGATACGCACACACAAAATATAAATTTACGAAAATACAATGTTTATTCCTCAATAGGATCTTTTTGAACTGATCTGTGACAGAGAACACAGATGGCACGACAACTAAACTGTATTGATATTGAAAAATTAAACATACATATCTACAAAACATTGTTTTTAAATTAGCGATTTATGGTAAAATTCTTAAAAGTACTATTAAATGTTACGAAATCCTTTTTGGGCTTGAGTGCCAAAGAAAAAGTACTCCTGCTCAACCCTTATCCTCAACAAAAGCTTGTCGTCATTTATGTTGAAAGCCAAAAAGTGTCAACTTCAAAGGGTTCCAAAAACGTTTTACCATACTGCATAATGACTTTACTAAAGTAACGACCCCTTGATCTAGTAGAGGTCCTAATGCGTTTTCACGAAATCGAATGGCAATTATTTTTGTGAAATTCCTTTTTTTTGGGATAGGTGAGCAAAAGAGCTGGCGTATTACCTGATGGTAAGCAATTGAAGCCCCCCATGGGCACCCGCAACACCAAAAGAGTTACGAGTTTGTTGCTGGCCTTTTTGGGATAAGGGTTTCGGATATTTATTTTTTTGATACAATTGAATGATTTTTAGACTTCCTTAGACAAGGGGTGGAACTAAGCGCTGGACGCTATTGTTTAAGACAACACTCCTAAACAAAAATGTGTTATCATATCATATAACTTGAGGATAACACTGAATACCAACAAATGTTCCACAATAAGTCACTAAAAGGCCAAACGGGTCACCAACTTGAGAATCCAACAATACAATACGAAACAATGGAAAACAAAGATGCAAAAAACATTTAGATGATTCGTCTTATCCGAAAAACGATTTCAGACTCACTGAAAAACACTACCTCCTCAACCCAAAATAAAACAAACGCCTCCACCTTCCTGAAGCAAAATATTCCCTAATGCCTAACAAATACGAATGTAAATCGCTTGTACATCAAGAAATAAACAGATCTCACGAAATAAGAGCTTCGTAATAAGTACTCTCGCGGATTCATCTCAAAAGGCACGATCCGAAACGTTAACACTACACGAAAAGCGCCAAGCGATTATGAATCCTCCCTCGTTAACAGTAAGTTGATATTTGATTGTTGAGAACGTACAGCGGGGATTGTTTCATTCTGTAAAAGGTAGTAAGTGGTACTTGGTGCTTTGGGAATTTGAGGTGTATTGTGAGAGAATACAATCGGAAATGGGTCGGCTGAGAGGATAATGTTAAGTTATTGAGAAAGAAAACGCGGTCATAAATAGTGTACGGTAGGAGCTTGTACATTTTCCGGAGGGCTGTAGCCTCCCGTCCTCCTGGCTTGGAGGCTGGCGGGGTAACATGTGGCAGCCGGGGCCGGGATAATGGGCGCGGTGTCCGTCACCCAGATAAATTGATAAAGTTGACGTGCGTTAACCTAATTCGTTATTAAGATTTTTTCGCGAGTGTCGCGGAATGTCATTATATACATATTTAAATGCAGTAGTAAGTTGTTAATTTGGGAAGGGTTTTTAAATTAGGATCGTGAATTCAGTTGATAACTTTGTGCTCGTTATAAGATATATTTTAACCTCCACGCCAATGCAAACCCTATCAAGAGACAGAAAAATAAATAATTTTAAAACAAAATATTTATTATTTTCCACGTTGTGTTTCAAAGTACACTGAATGAATTCAGCATTTCAACCCGTTTCACTGAACCGACGATGTATATTTTCATTTTGTTTTGAACGTTATTACAAGAACATTTCTGAATATTTAAGTAGCAGTCATTTGCAATTAACAGACTGTTATTGTTGATACAAATAAAAAAATAAAGTAATAATTATATTTTCATTATTTTGCACTGCTATGTCCAGCAGTGAACTGGACTCACGGTAAACATAACTGGTTCCTTATCAAATAAATAACTTTGTGCGTAAAACATTCTAATCAAAAATCTTCTCTGTACGAAAAGACCTATGCTGTGCATGGGTACTTTACAAATGATAATGACGACGACAATGTTTATAAAGACCGAAGCTATATCTAAACATTTATTTCAAGTCTATTTGATAACAGATAATATGCTATTATCTATTTAATATTATACGTATAACTGTTGTACATATAACTCGGAAAAAGTCACACTGGTACTTGCCAAGTTTTGACCCCACACACTCATGCATGAGAAGCGGGCTCCTTAACCTCCAGGCCACCACGACACACACTGCTGTTTGTCGGTTATCATCTATCATTTATCGAGTATGGTGATGTCATTACAAGATGTAGATAAGCTTAAACATGCATATCACTGCACAAAAACCCCGCCAAGCAATTATCAACCTTAATACTTACAACAATAACAATAGATTAATATAACAAGTCTTAAAAACACTCAGATTCGCAAAATTTAGTTATTAACTCGATTTCACAATTAGGGGAGTTTTTTGTTGCTTTATTTGGGGGGCAATTTGGTCTGAAAGTTTGTAAGCCCAAGGGCATGAGCACGTGTGGCGAAGGCTTAAGGCTCTAACTTCACGTACAAGAGCCGAGACGTGACGCGTTTAACATCCTGAGCTAATGCCGTGCAAAGAAATT